CTTCCTAGATGAGTTCATCCAGATCTGCCTAATCGATGATTTTAGACTGATTGATATGACTGATTGCTGTAGGCAGTGTTTCTCGTGCATCTCTCTTGTACAAGAAACCTTAGTTTTTACGATTTCTCTATTTTCACTCTGACGCTGGTTTGATCATTCCTGTCTTACCTCTCCCCCTTCACTCAAATGGGCAAGGTGAAGACGGAAAGCAATTTCGCCGCTCGAAACTGCATGGTTTATGGTTGCAGCAACTGAACAATAATTCTTACTCCTATATGATTATTATATATGCCCTACTCTCGAGTACTGCAGTCACGTTTTTGGTGGAAACTCATTGCGCTTCCTTCTTGATTGTTTAACTTGAGGAGTTTGGTCACGTAGGTGTTTTAACGCTGTTTTCCTCTGGGCACTTACCAACCCTCCACCGTGCTGTTGCTTCGTTATCCGTTCATGTAGTCCCTGTCATCGTTTCCGTTCGCGGAAACTCGTTATACAGTTCTGACTACTTCTTTTATACATCATGATAAGATTGCACCTTGATGTGTTGTGATGGCTTGTGCACCTCTTTGACCCAACGAGCTACACAAGATGGCTTTTGTTGAGCCAAAGATCTAAACATGTCTCGAAGGTCAACGGGCAGAGGTCAGACAAAGTTCAGTCTCCTGGTCCTCCAGGTTGGGGGTTCGACTTAAGTTGGCATCTCAGTGTTGGAGGAGTAATTGATCCGAGTTGATGGATCTTCAATCGCCTTGACCGCTGCCTTGCTTGGTCGTCACTCGTCAAAGGTCGTTGCCAAATAGCACTGTAAATAGTTTGCCTGTAAACAAAGTGCAGATTTCGAAACCTCGTCAAAATCTATTTGGGGGCCTTCAGCATGAGGACTCTGATGTAGGTGGGTCAACAGGCTTGTCTGGCGCGTACAAAGGACTTCTTGGAAATCGATGTCAGTTATTGATCGGAGATACGAATTCAGGATCTTAGTATTATAAGCCACCTGAGTGCGCCCGGTCTGTCCTCGAAGTATTTCCTTCGCACATCAGGAAACGACGATGCCCGCTCAGTGAATCAGTGTGATGTAGGGATCGTACTAAACGATAAAGCTGAAGCCTCTATGATAAATTGGATGCCCGTGAATAATCGTTTTTGCGCAATGAGACTTCAGAGTTCAGTTAGCGTTCAGAAGGAGAGCAACATTAAAAGGTGTTTTTTGATCACTTCCGCATATGCACCAACGAACTGCAGTCCCATTTCACAAAAGGATGAATATTAAGACAAAATTGCCGAACTCACTCGATCTAGGAGGGCACTTCGCTCCTCCCACTCAACAAACAGACAATGGTGATCGACCACATCAGTTCTGCGCAGATCTTCGATTGTTCTTATCTAGCACCAACTTCCGATATAGCTCTTGTCGAACCGCTACATGGTGTTCTAGTTCAGCGGGAAAGTTGACCCAAATTGACCACACAGCTGTAAGCTACCGTTGGCGTGGTTCACTGCGAAATTGCAGATCCTATTGGTCCACCTGCGTTGAGTCGGATCATGCTTTAGTTCTGTCACGTTTCACTCTTCGACTCGTTGGTCATCAGCAGAAATCGTCTCCTCAGTTAGCTCGTCATCGTCTGCGATCCATCTGTATGCGCACGTTATGAGGAGAATCTAGGACTGGAGCTAGGAGAACAGCGACATAACAGAGTAGACCAAGAGTGGGATCAGATTAGATTTGCGGTGCACTCAGCAGCAACTTTTGCTTGTGGGACCGAGCCCGAAGTTCGCCGAAGACAGTGAATCTCTCAGGAGTCCGTAATCCTGATGGATCAAAAGCGAAAGATCCCAATCTGCCAGGACCAGTATAGGGACCGGTGTCGTCTGCAACGTCAACTCAGGAAAAGCCTTAAGAAAGATGGCGAAAATTGGTGGGCCGAAATAGCTAGTGAAATGAGGGTAGCTTCTGCATCAGGGAATAGTCAAAGACTGTTTCACCTGATGCGCAGCATCGGAGGTCTTCGTATACCATTGAGACCATTTGTGATACAAGTTGACAGAGTATCCACAATAAAGAGGAACGGCTTGCTCGATGGGCAGTATATATATATATATATATATATATATCAAGTGCGAAATGAAGGATTTGATTCAATTTCAAAGTGAATTCGTCGTCTATATAGCAAATGAAGCGTGAACTGAAAAACTAGGAAGCGCTGGACAGCTATTTTGACCTGGTTGGGTCTCATCAGCAGTGAGAATCCATCGACTCAACTGGTGATCCAACCGAGTCATAACCCACGAGGCTAGTACTGAGATTAGCGAGTACCGTGGCCTGAAACAAGCTTGCAAAGATGGGTTGTGTTATATATTGTGTAAACGGAAAATGAAAAATGCTCTGATCAGCGTCCCTCGGGTGACCGAGTGGGTAGCATGCTTGCGTTCTGCCTGTGAGGT